TGGGTGATAGGAACGATGAGAAGATTAATAGTAATGCAGACTTAATAACTAGTTTGACAGTGTTGAGGGAATTATTTGTTTAGCAGAGTGATGGCATTCGGGAAAAAACTGTTCTTGTGTCTTCTTGTTCTGGTGTGCAGTACTCTATAGCGTCATTTTGAGGGTAGGAGTTGAAACAGTTTATGTCCAGGATGCAAAGGGTCTCTAAATATTTTTACGACCCTCTTTTTGACTCGTCTAGTATACAGGTCCTTGATGGAAGGCAGGTTGGTAGCAATTGTTTTTTGGCTGCTTACAAACATCACAGAATTTTTTTTTCAATTTTTTTTTTATTTTTTTCAAACATACAAATTACATCTTTTCAGAACAGAGCTTTGATCCGGTCATCAATTTGTTCAATTTTTTGTCATTTTTAACAAAATTTTATATATTCTATAATACTATAAGTACTATATACTTATTTCTTCATCTTAAATCACATATTTCAACTAATACCATTTTAGAAAAAGTTTACTCATATTTTCTTAATCAATATAATTACCCTTCTATTAACCCACCTTAAATCTTAATTCAATTAATACCTCATAATACATTTCACAATTCTTACCCTAAATCCTCACTATTAACAATACAGTTCAAACATGCTTATATTCCAAAATTATTTCCATTTCTAAAACTTCCTTACATTTATTTACTACTTCATGTAATGCTCATTTAATCTTTATTCCATTATTACTTTATCAAATTTAAATCTTATCACTAATCTTAAAAATATAGCAATTTAACATTTAGACATAGTTCTTAATTCAAATAATGCTGTTTAATACAATTTCCCAATTATTTCCCTAAATTCTATCTATTTAATCATACCATTTATATAAACACCAATTAAGTAATTTTTTTGTAAATCATAATCATATATTATTTCAATTTTCTTTTCTTTTTTGCTTGAGTGAAAAATGTTCAAATTTTTACAATTGTTATACATATTTAAACAATATCCCAATTATTATAGCTATCCATTTTCTCAAATGATACCGTCCAACATCTTAATAAAAATTGATACATTATATCCATTAATATATTTTCTTTTTACATAATCTAATTTAACCTTTTCTTTTATCATTCCACTGTTAATCCCAGTGTAATCATCTTTATTTTTTTCACTGTTAATCCCAGTGTAATCATCTTTATTTTTTCACTGTTAATCCCAGTGTAATCTCTATAAATATTTAAACAGTATCCCAATTGTTATAGCTATCAATTTCCTCAAATAATATCATCCAACATCTTAACAAAAATTGCTTCATCATATCCATTAATATATTTTCTTTTAACATAGTCTATTTCTCATATATTTTAACTTCAATCCATATTTCATTTCTAAGTATCTGTAACATATTTCTTCTCACATTTATTAATCTCAGTATAGTTTTATAAATCCAAGTCCTGGACTTTTTTATTTTCCTTAATATTTTCCAACCTTTTATTCTTTTATCATTCACTGTTAATCCCAGTGTAGTCATCATTGTGTTATTGTTAATCTCAATATAATCTTTAGAGACCTCCTTTTTATTATTACTATTCACATGTTCAGTTACTTATTCATATTTAATCACATTGTCTTTATCTTCTTTATTCTCCACCTCTATGTCTTATTCCTTCATCTTCATTTTCTTGTCCATTTGTATATACTCCATTTTAACTTCTGTATCTTCAAATTTTTGTCCTCTGTGCAACATTGTAATTATTTCTCTTATTTCCATTGTCCAAGTCTAGATCAATTTGTTCCTTCTCTAATTCCTGCGCCATTTTTCTTTTTAAGTTAATATTATTCCAATTATAAGAGTTCCGTTGTGTTCCCTTCTTTTTATTTTTTTTCTCCAAAAGTCAAACCGCTTGTAGACAAGAAAATCCTCCCCCACAAGTTCTCACGAATGTTATCTGTAAAGTCCACCATTTTCCAAAACAAAAACCAAGTTGCAATATTCCTTTTTACTCCAGATGGCGTCTCTCTGCAATCCACAATTTCCGGTTGTTTAAAAAGTATCCATTTTATTTCAATTACATAACAGTCTTATTTAGCTTCTCTTTTTCTTTTAGGTTTAAAGGTACCAAATCATATTTAAAGTCCAGTCCAAATTTAAATAACTCTTCTCACTTCTTTTTTTCCCTTTTTCCCCCTTTTATTTGTACATCATTTCTTTTTTAGAGCTTATTATCCATTTTCTTTCTTTCTTTCTTTTTTTAAATTTAAAGAGAGAGAGCGAGAGAGAGAAAAGGATCTCTTTATGTCTTTCCAATACTTTGACCATTCTCAAATTGTTTAAGGTTTCCAAATAGTTTGTTTAAAAATCTATTTTCTATCAGGTATTCGTCTCTTTGAAGTTATGTTTCAAAATCTTCTTTGCCCCCACGCTCCTTAGCCACTATTTATCATTAGGGGTCTTATAATTAAAAGATGTTTCCCTTGTTATTATTTCATGCCTGGGTTGGCTGTCACTCACCTGGCTTCAAAAAAACTCTGTTCCGTTCATCTTCTCTCTTCAGCTCTTTACTTAATCTGGTTGTCCCAGCTTCGTGGCAGCCACCATGGCTGCCATCCCCCACCGCCGAGTCACAGAGAGTTCCTTCCAATCTTCGAGGAACTTGCCTGTTCCCCTTGGTTGTCCAAGGTGCCTCTCTTTCTTCCCCATCCCTGCAGGATGGTTCTGATCCGCAGACCCATCGTCAGCGGTTCGTCAGCTGGGGTTTTTGCAGAGCTCATTGGAACCCGCTAATTCCCCGACTGTTTCGCTGCGATGCGAAACCGGAAGCCCCAAACATCACAGAATATTGACCTGCCCTTTTAAGGGACAATGTGCTCAACTAGAGTAAGCAGAATCCTCATTCTAAAGCTCATTTCATCCCCTGGGACCAAGAGGACCCCCATCTAGTCTTGATTCAATTTTCTTGGATTCAGTCAAAACCTGATCTTAGACACTGTCAACAGAATTCTTTGCTATTTGAGGAACAAGTACAAGCAAACCAGAGGCTAATATCAAACGGATCCTCAGCACTCGAAGGCTTCTCTCACCAGTTTTATGGAGATACTAAATAGCAGAGTAGGCCATGATATGTGTCCTAAGGAATAATACTTCAGGACCCATTTTGCTCATAGCCAAATCAGTTTTAAAATGTGTTCCATATTATAACATCTGAAGGCTACATTGATCAATAGTATTGAAACCTCCCAAGCAGTCTAAGAGAACTGTGAGGGTTTTACACTTCACAGTCAGATCTCACTGAAGATCATGCACCTTGGTGATTAGGCTTAGCCCACTTGAAATGGGTCTTAAGACAAGGATAAAATCTTGACTATGTTAATAAATAGGATGCAAGTATATATAACAATTTAGTTTATAAGAATGCTCAATATGGTTATACAAGAATAAGAGAATGATTAGGAAGATTGAATTTAAAAGTAAAGATAATTGTCAATGCAGAAAATTGTAAAATATTATATAATGCTGTTATTTATGTTTTGTATTTTACCATTTGGTGTATGTGTATGTTTTCTTCTTTTTTTTTCTTTTTTTCCTTTTTCTATTATGTTTTTGGTTTTAAAAATGTAAAATATTCAATAAAAACTATTTTTTTAAAAAAAGAAATGGGTCCTAAGAATTTGGAAAATAGAGAAGAAAAAAATCAATATTTCCCCCACCTTGTTCAGCAACTTTAGTCTTGAAAGATTATCCTGGTTGATAATAAGTCTCTGTCTTTCAAAGCTCCCCAGTTTCCCTTCCATGTAATTGTTCTTCGGAAGAACCACCAAGTTCCAGATGTTCAAATCTGCTATGAGATCTCCATTTTGGTCCAAGTACATTTTCATCTCTGAAAGATTGCAAAACTCATTCTTCTGCAGAAAGGGATGAAGCTAGAATGAAAAAAAACCAGGAAACTGAAAAGCAGAAAACTTGGTTTCTTGTTCCACATGTTTTTTTTTTTTCACAGTTGAATATTTCTAATACAGTTATCTAATCTGCAAATATTCTTTGTTGGGAGAACAAGTTTTACTACTCTTTTCAAAACTGAAAAAGATTGGTTGGGCAAAATACAACCAAAAAGAAGATGTTTCGTTTTTCATCCAAAAAAACTTCTTCGGTATCTTAAGATCTATCCAGGGTTATTTCAGTGTGTCATAAATGGGAAAATTAATTCAGTTACAAGAGAGGAAATTCTGTCAGAATGACAGGAAAAACATCCTAAAAGGAAGAGCAGTTTGACAGCTGTACCAGTGAACCAGATAAATTAAGTTTCCCCTTCACTGATTATGTTAATTCAAGGACCAAGCAGCCATCAGTCAGAAAAGCTTTAGCTGGGATTCCAGCCAAGAAGAGGGGTTGGCTAGATGGTCTCAGAGTCTCCTTCATATGTCTAATGGTAAAATTGCATGATGCTAATCACAAACCCATATGTACAGTATATGAATTCATTTAAAATGCATACTTTCTTTTACAATTAAAGGTAAATGTAAAGGTTCCCCTCGCACATATGTGCTCGTTGTTCCTGACTCTTAGAAGGTGGTGCTCATCTCCGTTTCAAAGCCAAAGAGCCAGCGCTGTCTGAAGACGTCTCCGTGGTCATGTGGCTGACATGACGAAAAAACTAAAGGAGCACGTAATACTGTTACATTCCCACCAAAGGTGGTCCCTATTTTTCTACTTGCATTTTTTACGTGCTTTTGAACTGCTAGGTTGGCAGAATCTGGGACCAGTAACGGGAACTCACCCCATTACACGGCACTAGGGATTCGAACTGCTGAAGTGCCTACCTTTCGATTGACAAGCTCAGAGTCTTAGCCACTGAGCCACCGTGTCCCTTTTACAATTAGTATTGTTCAAAATCAAAATATGCTTGTCATAGCTCCCACCCTTCAGAAAATTATGCCCTGAGTAATAGGATTGGCCAAACCTAGTAGAGGTTAAGATGGTTCTTTTACTTCTCTTTAGAAACTAAGTTTAATGTATATCCCTGTCAGGATCCCATACCTGCCATGGCTGCAGACCTGAAGCCCACAGACTCTCTACAGCTTTCTTTTTTATCCTTCTGGATTTGGAGGAATATGCAGCCCTCAAGGCAAGGGCCAGAGTCTTAATGACACTGTAAGCACGGGGGTCAATATATATTCTTCTTCTTTTGCCTTGGATTTCCAGTGGCATTTTTTGGGTACATCTGTTCCGGCCTTTCACAGAAAAGGCGTGTCTTGAAAAAGAGCAGTGAAAAGAGTGACCTTCAAACTGGGGATCCACAAACATAAATGGTTGAAAGGTTTTGTCAAACCCTCTGGTCTGAATATAAAAGTTCCAAATACTATGGACATATCTGTAAAATCTGTGATGTTTCATTGGCAATTCCCCAAAGAGTGTGATGATCCAGACTTTCCCTTCAATGGGTCCCGGCAAGCCTTCAAGTATGAAATGGATGTGGCTAATTCCATCCAACATGGTACTATAGTCTGTAAAGAAAACAAAGACATTGACTTGTCTCCACTTAGAGAGGGCATCCTTGAAGGGTTCTGTAGGTCCAGACATCGAGAATCTTTGTGATATAACAACACAATTTCCATTCCTGACAAGCAAAGGAGTAAAAGTCCTCATGAACTGTTCTCCATTCTCTGTGTCTGAAGCAAAGAGTCCAATCAAGTTCCATTTGAAATGGAGAAGCAGTTGGACAATTGCTGGGTACTGGATATCATTTTTGGGGGCCATTCGGTAAAAAAAGGGAAATTGACTTTTATCACTCAGAGCCTCTTGAACAAATCTACAAGTGACCTGAAAAAGCAATGAAGAATATCACATTATATTTGAGGTTGAATCAAGTCTAAAACATTAGGTTTTAATGTATCCAACCTGGATCTCACTAACATGTTAGAATATTTTATTATTGATAATCCTTTGGCCATATTAAATACAAAATATAGAGCCTTGGTGGCGCAGCGGACTAAACTGCTGTTAAAGTAGCACTTAGATGCCAGCTGCATGCAATTACTGCGAGTTCAATTCTCACCAGGCTCAAGGTTGACTCAGCCTTCCATCCTTCCGAGGTAGGTAAAATGAGGACCCGGTTTGTGGGTGCAATAAACTGACTTTGTATAAAATAGAACACCGCTTTGGGGGGGGGCAAAAAAGCCCTACTAAGCAGGTATATACAAAAATATGAAGGCTATTGTTTAATGCATTGTAAGCCGCCCTGAGTCTCTGGAGAAGGGCGGCATATAAATCAAACTAATAAATAAATAAATAATAAATAAATAAATAAATAAATAAATAAATAAATAAATAAATAAATAAATAAAACCCAACAAGACCCTATATGAAAATAGAATAAAAGAATATCAATTTAGTAAATAGAATAATAAAGAATGCACCTCATATTTCTGTATAAGTCAAACAATTTATTGCAATCAGACCCACATTTGCAGATCTCAACTGTTTTGTTCCAATAAAGAAGAGTTGTTTTATCAGTGAGATGGGTAGCATTTAATGAATAAATAAACAGACAAAGAAACAAATATTACATGTATTTTTTTTAATTCTGACATCACAGAAAATATATGGTTTTAATACAATTCAAATGGATTGTTGGTCTAATGTGCAGTCCAAGATATTATTCTGTCTCTTTCGTAGAGAATTGGCATTCAAATAATAAATATTATGCTGTATATCTTCTATCTCTGGAGTTCCACAAATAAAAGTCTGTGTCAAGGTTCCAAGTAACACTCCCAACAAATAAAAACTCCAAGGCTAGCAATTCCTCAAAGTTCCATTTTATTAGAGATGTCATATTGGCACATCTGGGAAAAACCGAATCTGAAAGCTTCCATGTTTCCTCCACCCAAAAGAAAATCAAAGATCCATCCCCTGCACCCAGAAGTCCATCACATGGCCCAATCATTTTACCGTCCCAACTGGACATATCCCCCAGTCATTCCCATTCAGGTGCAGGCCGAATGCCCTTGACTCCCAGAGAAAGGAATGTTGTTATGACTAAAACTCCACTGACTCCTTGCAATGCCCTCTCCCGTTGTCCCAGGCACTAAATGTGGCAGCCCTGAAGCTCCAAAGAAAAGATGGCTTCCAGGGCTGACAGTCTGTTCATTATAAGGAACTTGGTTAAATCTTCCATATTTAACAATCATATCCAGTTTCTCAAGTCTTGCTCAGGTAAATGCCACCCTAAGATGTTTAGGTTTTTCCACATTTAAATAGAAATGGAAACCAGATATACTGGAGTAGCGTGGGCAGATAACTAGTTGCCCAACAGCAAAGCCACAGGAGTTGATGGAATTTTTTTTTTTAATTTGATTTATATGCCGCCCTTCTCCGGAGACTCAGGGCGGCTTACAATGCGCTAAGCAATAGCTAACAAATAGCCTTCATTCTTTTGTATATTTATACAAAGTCAGTTTATTGCCCCCACAACTGGGTCCTCAATTTACCTACCTTAGAAAGGATGGAAGGCTGAGTCAACCTTGAGCCTTGGCGAGATTCGAACCTGCAATAATTGCAAGCAGCTGGTCTTAATAACAGGGTGCCTTAGACCACTGTACTACCAAGGCTCTTGGTATTATGCTGCAGGAATTCCTGCAGTGTTGCTGAGACCGGTGCCAACAAAAGCACTGACAGCATTTTGCCAAAGTGTATGGAAGACTGGTCAGTGGCCAAAAGAATGGAAAACGTCAATATGTATGCCAATACCAAAGAAAGGTGATACAAAAGACTGATCCAACCACTGATCCACAGTTTTGATATCACATGAGTAAAATTCTTTTGAAAATAATCCAGCAATGTCTGAATCCACCCACCAACAGGGAACTGCCTGATGTACAAGCAGAATTTCGGAAAGGAAGAGGAACACGTGATCATATTGCCAATCTATGTTGGACAATGGAAAAAGCAAAGGAATACCAAAAAGATCTCTACATGTGTTTCATTGACTACACAAAGGCCTTTGATTGTGTTGACCATGACAAGCTCTGGAACTGCTTCAAAGAATTAGGAATATCATCATAGTCATCCAGCTCATCCTGTCATTGTATTCTGATCAGGCAGCCACTGAAAGAACGGAATATGAAGGCACAAAACTGGTCAGTATTGAAAGGGGCACTCAACAAGGTCACATCCTGTCACCTGTACAATTCAACATGTGCACAGAAATTATGAGAAATGCACATTTGGAGGAATCTACCATTGAGGTTAAAATTGGTGGTAGGAATGTCAATAACCTCCGATATTATTTTATTTATTTTTTTTTATTTATTAGATTTCTATACCGCCCTACTCCCGAAGGACTCAGGGCGGTGCACAGCCAAACAATAAAAACACATACAATACAAAATTTAAAAAATAGAATAAAATCAAATTAAATAATTTTGGCCCCGACAAATTTAAAACCCCAAACTTTTAAAACCAATTTAAAATTGAATATATAAATACTAAAAAATATTTAAAATTTTAAAAATCTTTTATAAAAGAGGGGGAAAATTAGGCCAGGCCGGCCTGGTGAAATAGTAAGGTCTTTAAGGCGCGGCGGAAGGTGCGCAGATCCGGGATCCTCCGTATCTCTGGGGGGAGCTCGTTCCAGATAGTAGGTGCCCCCACAGAGAAGGCTCTCCCCCTGGGGGCCGCCAGTCGGCATTGTTTGGCTGACGGCACCCGGAGGAGCCCCTCTCTATGGGAGCGTACCGGCCGGTGGGAGGCTATTGGTGGTAGTAGGCGGTCCCGCAAGTACCCGGGTCCTAAGCCATGGAGCGCTTTAAAGGTGGTAACCAAAACCTTGAAGCGCACCCGGAAGACCACCGGGAGCCAGTGCAGCTCGCGCAGGAGAGGTGTTACATGGGAACGCCATGTCGCTCCCATTACCACCCGCGCGGCCGCACTCTGCGCCAGTTGGAGCCTCCGGGTGCTCCTCAAGGGGAGCCCCATGTAGAGAGCGTTGCAATAGTCCAGGCGGGAGGTGACAAGGGCATGAGTGACCGTGCGTAAAGAGTCCCGATCCAGAAAGGGACGCAACTGGCGAATCAGGCGAACCTGATGAAAAATCCTCCCGGTCACGGCCGTCAAGTGCTCTTCTAAAGACAGCCGTGAGTCCAGGAGGACGCCCAAGTTGCGAGCCCTCTCCGTGGGGGCCAATGATTCGCCCCCAATAGTCAGTGATGGCGTCAACTGACTATATCGGGACGTCGGAAACCACAGCCACTCAGTCTTGGATGGGTTGAGCCTGAGCCTGTTCCTCCCCATCCAGATCCGTACGGCCTCCAGGCACCGGGACATCACTTCAAGGGCATCGTTGGGGTGATCCGGGGTGGAGATGTACAGCTGGGTGTCGTCAGTGTACTGATGGTACTCCACCCCGAAACCACGGATGATCTCGCCCAGCGGCTTCACATAAATGTTGAACAGGAGAGGCGAGAGGACCGACCCTTGCGGCACCCCACATATGAGGGGCCTCGGGGTCGACCTCTGTCCCCCTGTCAACACAGACTGCGACCGGTCAGAGAGAAAGGAGGAGAACCACCGCAACACAGTGCCTCCCACCCCCAACTCTTCCAACCGGTGCAGCATGATACCATGGTCGATGGTATCAAAAGCCGCTGAGAGATCTAACAGGACCAGGACAGAGGAGCACCCCCTGTCCCGAGCCCTCCAGAGATCATCAACCAACGCGACCAATGCCGTTTCCGTGCTGTACCCGGGCCTGAAGCCCGACTGGAACGGATCCAGATACGTCGTTTCATCCAGGTGCTGGGGGAGCTGTTGCGCGACCACACTCTCAACAACCTTCGCAACAAAGCGAAGATTGGAGACCGGACGATAATTTACCAACATTGCCGGGTCCAGGGAAGGCTTCTTGAGGAGAGGCCTCACCACCGCCTCTTTCAAGGCGGCGGGAAAGTCACCCTCACTCAGCGAAGCGTTTATAATCCCCTGGAGCCAGCCTCGTGTCACTTCCCGGGAAGCCAGTACTAACCAGGAAGGACACGGGTCCAATAAACAAGTGGTCGCGTTCAGTCTACCCAGAATCCTGTCCACGTCCTCAGGGGTCACAGGATCAAACTCATCCCAGATAACATTCTCAAGACCTGCCCCTGTCTCTCCCCCTGAGACTACCCAGTCGGAGTCCAAATCTTCCCGAATCTGAGTGATTTTGTCATACAGATACTGAACAAAATCCTCGGCTCTACCCTCCAAGGGGTCCTCCCGCGCTTCCTGGTGGAGCAGGGAGCGGGTCACCCTAAAGAGGGCGGCCGGGCGATTATCTGATGACGCAATAAGAGCAGCAAAATAACTACATTTCGCTGCTTTTATCGCCACTAAGTAATTCCTAATGTGGGATCTTACTAGTGTCCGGTCAGATTCAAGAAGACTGGCCCTCCAACTACTCTCTAGGCGTCTTTTCCGGCGCTTCAACTCCCTCAGCTCCTCGGTAAACCAAGGAGCCAATTGAGATCGGCGCCGGGTCAGAGGCCGCAAAGGCACGACCCGATCCAGAGCACCAGCAGCCGCCCTATCCCAGGCGGCCACCAGGTCTCCAGTCGAGGCGTGTGCCAGAACCTCAGGAAATGGCCCAAGCTCCGTCTGGAATCTGTCAGGTTCCATCAGGCGCCTGGGGCGGAACCATCTGACCGGCTCCGCCTCCCTGCGGCGGGGTGCAGCGGTTTGAAAGTCGAGACGAAGGAGAGAGTGATCTGACCATGACAAGGGTTCAGTAACTATATCCCCTATATCAAGATCCCTCAACCACTGTCCAGAGACAAAAACCAGATCCAGCGTGTTTCCCCCTGTGTGGGTAGGGCCATGAATTAACTGGGTCAGGTCCATAGCTGTCATGGAAGCCATGAACTCCCGAGCCATCTCTGACGTCTCACCCACGGACGGCAGGTTGAAATCCCCCATAACCATAAGCTTAGGGGTATCAACCGCCACCGCGGCGATGACGTTGAGTAGCTCGGGCAGGGCTGTTGCCACGTGGCAGGGAGCCAGGTACGTGACCAGCAAACCCATCTGAACCCCATGACCCCATTTCACAAAAAGGGATTCACAGCCGGCCGTCTGAGGAACAGTGGCCTCCCTCGGTCTCAGACCTTCTTTAATGATAACCGCTACCCCCCCGCCCCTCCCCTGTGACCTCGGCTGATGGAATGCTTGGAAACCTGGCGGGCACATTTCAACGAGGGGAACCCCCCCCTCCTGGCCCAACCAGGTCTCCGTAATAACTGCCAGGTCCGCACCCCCCTCCTGAACAAGATCACAGATGAGGGGGGCTTTATTTACTACGGACCTGGCATTGCACAGCATCAGCCGAAGGCCTGGGTCCTGAGGGTCTATGCAACCTGAGGAGCGAGTAGAGCCTTGGGGGCCGGAGCACGCCACCGCTCGTAGACAGCGAGTGCGCACTCCCCTAACACGATATGGCCCCCTGCTCCCGCCATATCTACCCCTCCCACCTACAGTACTGATGTTCAAAAAACTATCCGGACAAGCTCTAACCCCCCCTTGATCCCGGGCCCTCCATCCCCCACACCACGCTTCACTGCCAGACCCGACCCTCCCCCTTGTGGGTTATCCCCCATACCCACAGCCCGAATTCCAATCTGACCCTCCCCCTCCCTAGGACCCCTTAAAAATTTGACTAAAAATTTTGTTAAAAAACCCCTCAATCCCCTCGTTTTCACATGCCACCTCTCTGGGTCCCAAAACCCTTCCTTGAGGTGGGCCCTCGATAGTGAGGAGGGCCACATCTGCGAGAAGGGGGAATCTCGCAGCGCAAGAAGATCTGCAGTCGTATACATCTCCAAAATGCAGCGATGGAGGCCCAAAGCTCAGACAGGGGACTTCACAAAAGATGTAACACAGCCAATTGTTCATCGATGTGCTGTTGGTGTCTCAACTGTCCTCCCACAACAGCAGGAGGGTCCTAAATTATCTCCTCCAATGGGGGCGACCTCCAGCCCGCCCTCTCACAGCGGAACCCCACGGGGCCGTAGATTGAAAAAGTTCTCCCACAGACAAGAGCCATGATGTAATAGAGGACCCCTCAATATGCAGGTGATACAACATTGCTTGCAGAAAGCAAGGAGGTCCTGGAGTGGCTAATCCTCCAGTAGTAACTGTGAGAAGGATCTTGGAGTCCTAGTGGACAGCCATTTAGATATTAGCCAGCAGTGTGCAGCAGCTGCCAAAAAAGTCAACACAGTTCTAGGCTGCATAAACAGAGGGATAGAATCAAGATCACGTGAAGTGTTAATACCACTTTATAATGCCTTGGTAAGGCCACACTTGGAATATTGCATTCAGTTTTGGCTGCCACAATGTAAAAAAGATGTTGAGACTCTAGAAAGTGTGCAGAGAAGAGCAACAAAGATGATTAGGGGACTGGAGGCTAAAACACATGAAGAAGGGTTGCAGGAACTGGGTACATCTAGTTTAATGAAAAGAAGGACTAGGGGAGACATGATAACAGTCTTCCAATATCTCAGGGGTTACCACAAAGAAAAGGGAGTCAAGCTATTCTCCAAAGCACCTGAGGGCAGAACAAGAAGCAATGGGTGGAAACTAATCAAGGAGAGAAGCAACTTAGAACTAAGGAGAAATTTCCTGACAGAACAATTAATCAGTGGAACAACTTGCCTCCAGAAGTTGTGAATGCTCTAACCCTGGAAGTTTTTAAGAAGATGTTGGATAACCATTTGTCTGAAGTGGTGTAGTGTTTCCTGCCTAAGTAGGGGGTTGGACTAGAAGACCTCCAAGGTCCCTTCCAACTCTGTTATTCTATTCTAATCCTGACAGTCAAAGATAAAAGTGAAAAATCTGAACTGCACTTTAACATCAAGAAAACAAATATTTGTTCTCTGCAGAGAACACATATGATAAATAGACAGACAGACAGAAAGACAGACAGACAGATGATAGATAGATAGATAGATAGATAGATAGATAGATAGATAGATAGATAGATAGATAGATAGACAGTAGTGATGATGATGACAGAGATAGGACTAGAAATAGAAATAGAAATAGATAGAGAGATAGAGATATGGCTTGCATTTTTAAAGTGTGTAAACAACTTGCCAATAGAAGTTCCACCAATCAGCATATTTCTGAATAGCTCAGCCAATAAAATATCCTTTCCAGGGGCTTAAATTGTCTTTATACCTGTTATGATGACATTCATCATAGGCAGATTAAGGTAAAAATAGTCAATAAATTGGCTAATATGCTTGCAATCTTTTAATAGTTGATTAATCCTAGTGGTCACTATGATCCATACGGCATATGTGTTTTATCAGCTGTAGGTAAAATGGCCATGATGAAAAGCCACCCTTGAATTCCAGACAAAAATGTGGTTGGATCTGCCTTCCAGCCACCCTACTCACTTTACCGGGTAGAGAAACATACACACACTAACCTGTGCAACTTTGTAGGGGCCTAATAATGTTGACATCTGTGTGGAGATTTCCCTGTAAGCCCCATCAATAATAACCAGAAGATTGTCTTTCCTTCCACAGCTGTAGTTAGGAACATTGGCTTTTCCAGTAGAGAGAATGTCCAGCAAGGCATCGGAAGTGCGTACAGTGCTCAAATAGTTGTCATGGACGTTGTACCCAAGTGTGAGATTGTGTGGGATCCGGGTATTCTTGTTGATCACTTGAATGGGGAGAATGAAGGGTAGCATTCCTCCCAGATTAATACGTCTAGTCCTGTACAAATATTTCCATGTTATTATCATTAATAGCAATAACAAAATATATCTATTAATTTATTTCTTTTTGTCTCTACAAGCCTATTGAGTCTTAAGTGACTACTGATCCAAAACCAGAGACAAACAAGAGTGACCCATCATTTTATTTTTGTCATTGTTGAGAAGGTGGGATGGATATAATCATCTACTGGGATTAATAGTCACAAATATATCATTGTTTGCACTAGCACTTATACTCACTTGTCCAATAACCAGGATTCAAAACAATTCAATCATTAAAGCAGAACCACCATAAAAGCCAGAGCATGGATCAATAAGTTAGTCAGCAAAGCAATTTTTTTAAAAAAATCATCCTATAAGGAGCTGGCAGAGACAACTACAATCCTTAAATAAAATAAAGAAGAGTGTTTAAGTGATGAACTCAAGACTGGAAGAGAAGGAGAAGATCCTCTGGACTTCTGTGTCTCTCATGTTCTTTCAGAGTTTCATCTGCCCCATCCCTGCATTTGAGTTTAATACACAACAAGGCAAGAGAGGATAAATCTAAAGATTCCAAAAACTTACAAATAACCTAAAATTCAGGAACCAGGGGAATAAGAAGAAAGGAAGAAGAGTGTTAGAAATGCAAATGGAGGGAATGCAACCCCATCACACTGAATGACTTACGGGGAAGAAATATAACGAGCCCCATTGAATTGTAGCAGCTCGAGTGAAGGTTTTGTTGCTGTTTCAATCACACTAATAATATGGTCTCCGGGCCCATAATAGTTCCATGGATTTCCTCTTTCCTGCTGCTTCAAAGTTGGGGGGCATTTGGTTCTTAGCCTCCCAGAGTATCTCCGGGTCAGCTGAAACATCAGAAGCATAAGCAGGAAGTCCATTTCTCCTTGGGATGAATCAGCCACTTCCCTGTTTCTAAACAACAAGAAGAGTTAGAAAAAAAAATTCAAAGCCCTCTCACAAGATGGAAGTGTCAGTGAGACCCATTAAGCTTCACCTGGAAAGGAGAAAATGGTACATTCAAGAGCACAACCTCTGTCTGTCCTGAATTTTGTGCAAAATATTCGGCATAAGTAGAGGTATTTATCCTTTTCTGATGTAAGATCCCTTCCATGTTGCTACTGATGTTTACATCAAAGGCAATCGCTGGAGAAGGTGCAGAAGAGGTGTCAAAGACAAGGAGAATGATAAACACAGTGAGAAGCTATTTTTCCTCTTGGGAGCCTAAAGTCCTTTCAGAGGTCCATGTGTAGAGGGGCAGCTGGAGAATAGCACTAGTGAAAAATTATAGCTTCGCACCTGGGGCACTGTTCTGTAGTTGTTCTGGTTTTTGTTATTGGGATGTGTTAAGAAATTAATGTTGAAATATGAGAGTTCAACCCCAACCTGAAAGACTTCTGATGCCCTTCTGGATGGTACCTTCTCTTTTATGCTTTTGAACATTAGCAGAAACGATTGGTCAAGGTCATCCCCCATCTTTTATTATTTTTATTATTATTATTTTTATCATTGTTATTTTAAATTGGGGCCAAATTAATATATATCTTTTTAATTGTTTTTAATGTTTGTATTCTATGTTTTTATCTGGCTGTACACCACCCTGAGTCCCTCGGGAGAAGGTGCGGTATATAAATTCGAAATAAAATAAAATAAAATAAAAATCTTTCATGTTTGTATTATTATATAGTAATGATATGCATTCTACTTTGTCTGTCTGAAATCTTGGTCACTGCTTGGAATAAGGTCAGTTGGCTGAGATGTTACATCAGTTGTGTCCATGTGACTTTCCCTCTTGAGAATCCCATCTCTTTTTGTGGATCATGGAGGACCTGATTGAAAGAAGATAAGGGATGTGAGGAGCATTGTTGGTCCTCAACAAAGGGCAAACACAGGCCATCCCAAGTTAGAGCTGCTGTTAAGGCCAACTTGTGGTGGTACAAAAATACTTCTTCACCCGTTTTGTGTACTCACATAGTCACCCCTAGACCCTGATTCAGTTTACACAAGCCCACTTGGATGGAGGAGCTCAGAGAATTTCTTGCAGGGGTGTTTGGAGGAATTTGTCACCATCTGTCAGACAAAGTCACTTAGATTTGCTCATACCTGGAGACCATCCATGTTGCAAGTCCAAAGGAGATGCCTCTGGGTGGTTAGGAGGAGTCTTTTTCTCTTATTTGGGAACAGTTTCAACCTGCTTAGCTTCAAGAAGTGGACAGGATTCACAGGACCATGAATTCTTTGGATCCGTCCCACTCCT